GGATCAGGTATAATTCCTCCATTTCCTTTTGGTTCAGATCTGGTTCGATTATGGTTCAAATAGGATCATTGAATATTGTATTCTAAATTTAGGGAATATGATTCCCAATTGGAAGAAGGTAGCAAAATTTTTGAAATTCGCCCACCCATTCCACAACCTTCATGGTGTCCATTAGATGGATCCTACCATTCTTTTATTGGTATCAGAGCCAGGTTCAAATCTTGAACCAAAAGAAAATCAGATCTGAACCTACGCAGATGGACAGAAGATGTTCTGCCAAGGTTTGCGCAGATTGTTTTCTTTATTTCAAGAAACTCTTTCTTGTTAAGGGCGATTGGTCTGAAATTAATTTTTGTTAAATCCAAAATTTATTTAGAACTGTTCTTTATTTATTTTGATTTAATGGACTGTTCGAACTTGGAGATCGCAGTGCAGATTTGGCGTAGATGGTCTGCGCACCCTTTTTCCTTTTTATTCAATTCAGTCTGTAAATAATTTTTTTTTTTTATTTTCTAGACTGAATGTATAGGATTTGATCAAGAATCTAATTAATTAATAGAAATAGGATTTCTGTAATTTTTATTTTCTTGATTAAAGAAGAAGGAAGAAGAAGGTGGCGCTGGAGATTTGCAGATGGAGAAATCGCTTTCTGCGATTTGTAGTTTGTGAAACTGCAACCCTAGTGATTAACCTCTGTTTTGCAGGTGGTGCGAACAGTCCATATTTGATTTTTGATTGTTTAAAATTGAAATGATTAATTTCAGATCTTTCATGGATTAATTCTTGATTTGAAAATCAGTTTCGGATAATTTCAGACGATTGGACCAAAACTGTTTGGACCGAATCTAGGGTTTGAAGGGGACTATTTTTAGTCCAATTTTCTCCCTCTTGTAGTTCCAAATCTGATGTTCAATTACAGGGATTAATTTGGCCCACCTGTAAAGCCCAGTTTTAAAAGGTTACAACTGCAGAAGCCCACTCTTGTGAGAAAAGATGTTTGGGCCGAATTGCTATCTGCGATTCAGCCCGTACACCTAGTAGACATTAATTGTTAATGTTATGTTTTTAAATGGGCTGTTCAATGGGCTTTACAACAGTTAATTGATTTGATCAATTCTTCCTTTTTGGTGTTGTACGTGGACGATATTCTACTCATTGGGAGTGATGTAGGCATGTTGACTTCGGTCAAGGTATGGCTATCACAACAGTTCTCCATGAAAGATCTTGGAGAAGCTTTATATATACTGGGTCTTCGGCTCTATAGAGATAGATCGAAGCGGATAATTGGATTATCCTATGCCGCTTACATTGACAAAATTGTCAAAAGATACAACATGGAGAATTCCAAGAAAGGAAACGTTCCTTTCAGGCATGGAGTCACTCTCTCCAAGAAGATGTCTCCAAAGGCTTCTGAGGAGATTGAGGGCATAAGAGATGTTCCCTATGCCTCAGTCGTAGGGAGCATCATGTATGCCATGCTGTGCACTTGCCTGGACATTGCTCAGGCGGTGAGTGTGGTAAGCAGATTCCAGGTCAACCCAAGGCAGGAGCATTGGACTGCTGTGAAGAACATACTCAAATACCTTTGAAGGACAAAAGAATTTTGTCTGGTATTCGAGGGTGGTTCACTACAAATTCTAGGGTATACTATTGCCGATTTCCAGTCGGATCCAGATGATAGAAAGTCTACATCTGGATATGTTTTCACGATAGGATCGTGTGCTGTTTGCTGGAAAAGCAGCAAACAGGGGTCCACTGCAGATTCCACAAATGAGGCCGAGTACATTGCCGAAAATGAAGCTGCCAAGGAAGCCGTATGGATGAAGAAATTCATACATGAATTGGGAGTGATTCCGTCTAGCACATCACCCATCCCGTTGTTGTGTGACAACAATGGAGCGATCGCCCAGGCTAAAGAGCCTCGAGCCCACTCGAAGTCAAAGCACATCGAGAGGAAGTACCACGTACTACGAGAGATCATTGGTAGAGGGGACATCCTAATTCAAAAGGTAGCATCAGCGAATAATGTGGCGGACCCATTGACTAAGCCATTGACACAGAAGGTGTTTGAGAAACACGTGGTAAGTATGAGACTCCAGATTGTACTATTTTGGACCTAAGTGCAAGTGGGAGCTGTTAGACAGTTTTGTATKCCCTTARCTTCAATYYGWTTTGATGTAMTTTTGACATTTAGTGTAAATAAATAAAGTGCATGTTTGATTCATGTTGTTTGGTATAATTCTGTGTAAGACCCTAATTCTGTGTAAGACCCTCATGTTAGTT